CTTCGCAGCAGCCGTCGCAGACGCGGCAGACGAGTGTCCTCCTGCCCAGGTGGCCCGGCGCTGGCGGTGGCCGGGCGCGTGGTGGTGTGCCGAGTGGTGGCTCTGGTGGCGGGCGTTGTCAGTACAAGATCCAGACCGGTCCTCGCCGCGGTTTCGTTTGCGGTAGGCTCGGTCACTCCACTCCCCGCTGTTTTCGTCGCCTGGACGACCTCTTTCGTCAGCGCTTCGGCCCGTCGCCAGACCTCCCGGACTGGCACAGTTTGCTTAGTCGTAAGATTCAGATTTTTGATATGGACATGGATGCCATTGTTGCTACTCTGCATGTGATGTATGCTGATGACTCTAGTGTGCTTCCCGCTTATTACTCACTGTTGCCTAGTGTAGGTGTGCCTAGCTTAGCCTCCCCTGCTGCGTCAGGCGTAGGATCCCCTGCTTTGTGTAGTCTTGGTGCTTCCGCCGTCGTTCCGTTGCCAGACGCCTCTGCTTCGCTTTCCTTCACCTTGGACTCTGGCGCTTCTCGGTGTTTCTTCCGCGACTCCACCACCCTGACGCCGCTTCCTGTCCCAGCTGCCGTCTCTCTTGCTGACCCCTCCGGCGGTCCGGCCGTCGCTCGCAGTTCCACCACCCTTCCCTGTCCGGCGGTTCCTTCGGGCACTCTCACAGGTCTGCATATCCTCTCGTTCTCCAGGAACCTAGTCGGTGTCGGCTGCCTCCAGGACCTTGGCGTCACCACTACGTTCCCTGGTCACGAGCGGTATGCTGTCGGTACCGAGGCCGCCACTGGTGCCCCCCTGTCCATGTTCCCCCGGGACCCTGTGTCCGGCCTGTTCACTCTGGACACCGTGACCCCCCCGGCTGGGGCGCCTCCTCACGTGGCTGCGTCTACCCAGGTTGCTGCTGCCTGCTCCTGTCGGTCCCTCACTCACCCGACTCTCCTTTGGCACCACCGCCTAGGTCACCCTGCGCTCCCGCGTCTGCGTCACATGTCCCAGCACGGTCTTGTCCTTGGTCTCCCAGGTTCCCTCCCCGCGTTTCCCTCCTCCCCAGCCCCACCTTGCACGCCTTGTGTTGAGGGTCGGCTTCGCCGTGCCCCGCACTCCTCCTCGTTTCCCCCTACCGCCGCGCCGCTGCAGACCCTGCACCTGGACGTCTGGGGCCCTGCCCCCGGCCCTGGGCCGCGTCGAGAGCGCTACTTCCTTGTGCTGGTCGACGACTTCACTCGTTACACCACAGTCTTTCCCCTGGAGCGCAAGGCCGACGTGCCTGGTGCTCTCATCCCCTGGCTTGTCTCTGCGCGTGTCCACCGCGGTCTCCCTGTCTTGCGTCTTCACTCCGACCGTGGTGGCGAGTTTGCCTCAGGTGTCCTTGGTCGCTTTTGTCGTGCGGAAGGCATCACCCAGACGTTCACCCTACCGGACTCCTCACAGCAGAATGGGGTCACTGAGCAACGCATCGGTTTGGTCATGGAGGTGGCTCGCACCTCCATGATCCATGCCGGTGCACCCCATTTTCTGTGGCCGTTCGCTGTGCGCTACGCTTCTCACCAGCTTAACTTGTGGCCGCACCCTCAGCAGCCGCAGGTTTCGCCGACTCGTCTTTGGACTGGGTCTCCTGGTGACGCGTCTGCGTTCCACGTCTGGGGCTGCCTTGCTCACGTCCGTGCCTCCGCCACGGACAAGCTCACTGCCCGCACCCTTCCCTGCGTCTTCCTCGGTTTTCCCCTTGACGCGTCCGACTGGCACTTTTACCACCCGCCGTCTCACCGCTTCTTTCACTCTCATGACGTCACCTTTGACGAGTCCGTCTCCTACTACCGTCGCTTCCCCCACCGTGGTCCCCCGGTTACCCCCCCCCTGTTCCTGGTCACTCCTTCCCCGGTAGTCCCTTCCCCTCCTCCTCCTCCTCCCCGTCCCGCCCCCTCTGGTGTGACCCACGTCACCCCCCTTCCATCGGTAGACCCGGTTGAGGAGTCTTCTGACTCTGGTGGCCCTCCTGTTCAGTCCTCACCGGCCGCCCGTCCCCTAGCGTCCCCTCCCCAGTCCCCCCCTCCACCGCCTCTGCCGCCGCTGCAGCCGTCCTTGTCGCTGCCGCCGCCGCCGCTGCCGCCGCCGCCGCCGCCGCCGTCGCAGCACCCGTTCGCTGACTCTGGGGGTGCTCGTCTCGGTAGCCCTGGGGGTGGTCCCTCTGGGGGTGCTGGTGTGGAGAGTGCCGGTGGTAGCCGAGGAGCAGCTTGCGGTCCCGGTGTCGCCGTTGTGCCGCCGCAGCAGCAGTCCCCGCAGGTGTCAGCCCTTCGCTTGCTCGGCCTTCCGTCCCCCGACCCTGCGTCGGTTCCTCCCCGGCCGTCTCCTCCTCTTCCTGTCTACGGCCCTGTCTTCCCTCCGCCGGACTCGTCCCCGGCCCGTCTCCCCCCTCGTTCCCCTCCTGTGTCCCCTCCTCTGTCTCCTGACCCGACTCCTCCGTCGCACGTCTGGTCTCACCGTCCCTCCCGTGCTCGTCCTGCCTCGCCTGTCTTGCGCTCCCACCCTATGTTGCTGCGTTCCCACGCGTCTCGTCCTCCCCTTCTGCCGTCGCCTCCTCCGTCCTCCCTTGTTGTTGCACCCCCCCCACTGTCTGACTACCTTCGTGCCGCTCGTCCCCTTGTTCCTCGGGTCCTTGCCTCTCTCGTTACCGACCCGTCTGTTCCGTCCTCGTGCCTTGACGCTCTTGTCGCTGCTGTCGCTGACTTCGCCTCTACCCGCCGCCTTGACTACGCCACCGCTCTGGTCTCTGACCCTGCTTGTCCTCCGTCTGTCGGGGGTGCTTCTGCCCTTGGCAGTGACCTCCTGGAGGACCGCCAGTTTGAGCTTGCTTTCCTGTCCGAGGCTGCTCCCCATCTCTGTTCCATGCTGCTAGTCCCTGAGGGTGACCCAGACGCTTTTGACATCCCGACCCCTCGCACTTACGCTGAGGCGACTTCGGGACCCTGGGCCTCGCAGTGGATAGCTGCCATGGAGCAGGAGATGGCATCTTGGAGATCCACCGGCACCTTCGTCGACGCAGTTCCCCCACCTGGGGTAAACGTAGTCGATGGCCGCTGGCTCTTCAACGTGAAGCGCCCTCCTGGAGAGCCGCCTGTCTTCAAGGCGCGCTATGTGGCTAGAGGCTTCAGTCAGCGCGAGGGGGTGGACTTCTTCCAGACCTTCGCTCCGACCCCGAAGATGACTACTCTTCGGGTTCTGTTACACCTAGCTGCTCAGCGTGACTACGAGCTTCACTCCCTCGACTTCTCCACTGCCTTCCTTCAGGGCAGCCTACACGAGCAGGTCTACCTGCGTCGCCCTCAGGGCTTCACTGGCACCTTCCCTCCTGGGACCCAGTGGCTCCTGCGGCGCCCCGTCTACGGCCTGCGCCAGGCTCCCCGTGAGTGGCACGACACTCTCCGTGCTACGCTTGCTGACCTGCAGTTCTTTCCGTCTTCCGCAGACCCTTCACTCTTCGTTCGTGCTGGCCAGACTCCGTTCTACATCCTTGTTTACGTCGACGACCTGGTCTTTGCCACAGCTGACAGGGACGCACTGGCCTCCGTGAAGGCTGAGCTGCTGAAGAGACACACGTGCACTGACCTTGGAGAACTGCGCCGTTACCTTGGCTTGCAGATCTCCAGGGACAGAGCTTCGCGCACCATCACCCCGACTCAGTCACACTTGGTGCGCCAGGTCCTTCAGAGGTTCAGCCTTCAGTTCTCCTCCGCACAGCCCACCCCTCTGCCTGTAGACCACAGACTCTCCGCTCCAGTGTCTGAGGAGTTGGTAGAGCCCAGCGGCCCCTACGCAGAGCTGGTGGGTTGCCTCATGTACCTGATGACTTGCACTCGCCCAGATCTGGCATACCCTCTCAGCATCCTGGCTCGCTTTGTGGCCACAGGCAGACACCGACCGCAGCACTGGTCTGCCGCTAAGAGGGTTCTGCGTTATCTTGCTAGTACATCGAGCATGGGGTTAGTGCTAGGAGGACGCAGGCCAGTGGTCCTTACTGGACACACAGACGCTTCGTGGGCAGACGACGCTGAGACACTCAGGTCTACCCAGGGCTACTGCTTCAGCCTTGGCTCAGGTGCCGTCTCGTGGAGAGCTACCCGCTCCTCGTCTGTTGCGCAGTCCAGCTGTGAGGCTGAGATCTACGCTGGTGCTATGGCGGCACAGGAGCTCCGCTGGCTGACCTTCTTGCTCACTGACTTAGGTGAGCGGCCTAGCTCTGCCCCGGTCCTGTTCGCTGACTCGACTCGAGGGCAGAGCAAAGCACATTCAGCTGCGGTACTTCCTCCTGCGTGAGCTACAGCAGCGACGTCAGGCTCGCGTAGTACACTTGGCCTCAGGTGCCAATACGGCTGATATCTTTACGAAGGCGCTTGCGCCTAAAGATCATCAGCGGCACTGTGTACAGCTTGGTCTAGTTCCTGTAGCCTCTCACTTGCTAGGACCTTGACTTTGTACTGTCCTTTATATGTATACTCAGACTGGACTTGTGTCCTCTCCCAGTGGCTGGACTAGTAGTGCCGCCCTGCTCTTGTTCTTGCCTTGTTTGTACTCCTTCTGACTGGTCTCTCAAACCCTTGTCTCAGCGGTTGGACTAGTAGTGCCGCCCTGAGCTGTTTGTTTAGAGCATTCCCCTATGCAGTCTAGGGGGTGTGTCAAACATGTGTATTTGTCATGTTTGTATAGACTGTATAGGGTCGTCTCTTAGAGAGTACAACACTTAGATATATCTGTGTGTACACTCTATCTATCATTCAATTCTCAGTTTTGATACTTGTGACAAATAATGGCATGTATTAGAACAGCATGTTTTCAGTAGTTGACCTGTTTTTTCAGAGCAAAAATTATACAACACCCTGATTGATCAGCGTAATTTTTTCTGCGAGGCCTGAAAAAACAGGGAGCTAGGGGGGGGGGGGAGCCTGAGCAATCAGCGTGCCCCAAAACGAATCTGAGGCCCTGCACTAGACTATTCATTACTCAGTTGTAAGATTGTGCACTAGATGAAAATGTCGAGGGTTACAAAGGTAAGGCTGTACCCTCTAAGAATTGACCTAACAAAGGCTATAACAAATATTAACTAACTAGCCAAGATAATTATGTTTGTCGACAAGATGAACATGGACCAGGGTGTTAAGAGACCCGTTGTTGTTGTCCTTGAGATCCTCGGGGAAGGGTCACAGGCCTCTATGCCTAGGGGGTTGTGGGTGCACTAACCCGCTTCTTAATAAACCCTTTTAACTCAGTGGTTAGTGACTGAGTTCTGACACATGGTAGTATGTGATGTGAACACACATGACCCTTGTGGATGTGCATGCCCGCGCATGCACATCAGTCCAGACACCAGAGACCCAGGAGGAGGCTTGCCGTATCCAGCGCATGCCACCACAGTGCTGCCGTAAGGGTTCCTCTCATCCTGGCTCATGGGTTCTACCAACCAAGCGTCAATAACAATCCAACAACCCAGGAGGCTTGTTCAGCCCTTGCCTCCCTGCCACCATCTCATGGTGCCGCGCCGCCTATCCTTGTCCCTCCTCCCCTCATCCCCCAACTCCTCCCGGCCCACGAACCTGTTGAATCCCAAGGGGCAGGGGAATCAACCGCGTGACCTACCCAAGCATCCATGTCAATCCAGAGACCCTGGGAGCTTGTCCAGCCCATACCTTCCCGCCGCCATCTCATGGTGCCGCCTATCCTCGTCTCACCTCCCCTCATCCTCCAACTCCTCCCGATCCACAACCCTATCTCCGATCTCAGAGACGGCGGGAGAAACAGGGATTGCCCCAGGGCACAGGGATTGCCCCAGGGCACAGGGATTGCCCCAGGGCACAGGGATTGCCCCAGGGCACAGGGATTGCTCCAGCCCAACCAAGAAGAGTATCAATCCAGAGACCCTGGGGGTTTGTCCAGCCCATGTCTCCCCGCCGCCATCTCATGGTGCCTCCGATCTTCGTCTCTCCTCCCCTCATCCTCCAACTCCTCACGGTCCACAAACCTATCAATGATCTCGGACGGAGGGAGAATCACCCTTGGGGATTGCCCGAACCAGCAGTAGCGGCGGCGCCAGGCGAAGTGGAAAGGGGAGTCGCGGAGAGGGCGGGGGATGATAAGGAGAGAGGCGAGGAGAGGGTAGGGTAGAGGGAGGTCCCAGGCCACACGAAGTAGGGCTGCCATGGGAGAGAGGGGAAGGGAGGGGTTGGAAAGAGGGAGAAAAAGGAGGAGAAAGATCGGGCAAGAGAGGGAGGGGGACAGGGAGAAACGGTTAGAGGGAGTTTCAGGCTTGGTGACCGACCAAACCAGTAGCAGTGGCGGTGCCAGGCGAAGAGGAAAGGGGAGCATGGAGGGGGCGGGGGATGATTAGGAGAGAGGCGAGGAGAGGGTAGGGGAGAGGGAGGTCCCAGGCCACACGAAGTAGAGCTGAGCTAAGTTGGCACTTTACCTTTATGGGGCTTTACGATTACGCGACTTTACGAAGTAAACTTGCGTTTACTTACGTTGGGCCAAAATGGCTTTACGTTTACGGTCAGCACAAAATTTTGCCAAGCTGCCCGGCCATAGGGGAAACTCATAATGCTTTGGGTATGCACAAAGCAGAGAGGCATAAATAACTTGACTCACCACCCAAATTTGTTTTGTTTCAACACAAAAGTTGCCTTGGTGAGCCACAGTGCGCAACCATACCATAGACGTGACTGCACCCCAGTCAAACTCAATCTTCCCCCTTTTTTCCTGCCCCTGATTTTTTTTTATGCTGCCCGTCCATATTTACGTACATTTACGAGTAAAAAAACGTAAAGGTAAACTTACGAGAAAATCTATGTTTACGTGACTTGGTAAAGAGTAAAGTACTAACTAAGGAGCTGAGATGGGGGAGGGGGGGGCGGGAGTGGGGGAGGGAGATAGAGGGGAAAACAGGAGAGGGCGGGGGATGAGGAGGAGATAGAAGAGGAGAGGGTAGGGGAGAGGGAGGTCCCAGGCCACACGAAGTAGAGCTGACATGGGGGATAGGAGTAGGCGGGTAGGGGAGGAGGAGGGAGATGAGAGGGAAATCAGGGTGAATACTGTGTGAGGATTAGAGGGCGAGGGATGGGGAGGAGAGGCACGAGGAGGGGGCGGGGGTGAGGGGGCTGAGATGGGGGAGCTGACAGGGGAAGGGGACGGTGGAAGGTGACAGGGGGGACAGGGGGAAAAGGGGAGCATGAGAGTGGGGAAACCAGGGGAGAAACCAGGGGAGAAACCAGGGGAGAAACCGGGGGAGAAACCAGGGGAGAAACCAGGGGAGAAACCAAACCAGGGGAGAAACCAGGGGAGAAACCAGGGGAGAAACCAGGGGAGAAACCGGGGGAGAAACCAGGGGAGAAACCAGGGGAGAAACCAGGGGAGAAACCGGGGGAGAAACCAGGGGAGAAACCAGGGGAGAAACCAGGGGAGAAACCAGGGGAGAAACCAGGGGAGAAACCAGGGGAGAAACCAGGGGAGAAACCAGGGGAGAAACCAGGGGAGAAACCAGGGGAGAAACCAGGGGAGAAACCAGGGGAGAAACCAGGGGAGAAACCAGGGGAGAAACCAGGGGAGAAACCAGGGGAGAAACCGGGGGAGAAACCAGGGGAGAAACTGGGGGAGAAACTGGGGGAGAAACCAGGGAAGAAACCAGGGGAGAAACCAGGGGAGAAACCAGGGGAGAAACCGGGGGAGAAACCAGGGGAGAAACTGGGGGAGAAACCAGGGGAGAAACTGGGGGAGAAACCAGGGGAGAAACCAGGGGAGAAACCGGGGGAGAAACCAGGGGAGAAACCAGGGGGCAATATACCAACAACAACAGGATGTGAGCGCACAGAGGAAATACCTAAGAAATCAAAGAAATCACCTGACACAAGCTAAGAAATCACCTGACACAAGCTAAGAAATCACCTGACACAAGCTAAGAAATCACCTGACACAAGCTAAGAAATCACCTGACACAAGCTAAGAAACTACCTGAAGTTCCAGAGAACGAGGAGTCATAGCCCTGGATGTACACGGGAGACTGGAGCACGTCCAAGAGGTTGAAGCCAAAGGCGGCGAGGTAGGGGTGTGCTGCCTCTGACTGCACGCAGCAGAAGGAGAGCTTCTGATCTCGGTCTGCCCTGGCTACTCGTTGAATCACTGCCAAAGGGGAGAAGGTTTGGGTGGCGGAGAGGGAGAGGGACGCTCTGACAAAGACGCAGCAGAAGAAGAGCTTCTGGTGCCTGTCCGCCCTGGCCGCGCGCTGAATCACTGCAAAAGGGGAGAAGGCTTGGGTGGAGGGGAGGGGGGAGGGGGGAGCGGGGAGGGATGAGGGGGCAGAAGCAGCAGAAGGAGAGCTTCTGGTGCCTGTCCGCCCTGGGTGCGCGCTGAATCACTGGAGCAGGGAAGAGGACGGAGAGAGGGAAAAGCACGTGGGAAAACAAGTGCTTTACAGATGGCACATCCATCTCTGAAAGCACCAGCAGTGTTAAGGCCCTCACAGCCCTGCCACCACCCCTGCCCACCCCTCCCCCTCCCCCCCCCCCCCCACCCCCTGCCCCCTCCTCACCCCTCCCCCATCTCCCCACCCACTCATACCCAGCCCGAGCCTTACCAGCATGCAAGGCGAAGCACGTGCCGCCTATCAGCAGCACTCGGGGCCTCAGGCTCCCATGCACATCCGCAATCCACTCGCCCTCCCTGCCCTTGCCTTGCCAATCCCCCCGACACCAATCACCAGCATGGGACACATAGCACGTGCCGTCTATCAGCAGCACCCCAGCTGCAAGCTCCTGAAATTGGCAGCAAACACAACCATAGGCGCGCCCATCCTTCCCACGCCCCCGGTCTACTCCCTAACCCTCCTCAACCTTCCCTATCCCTCCCAACCCTGCCCAATCCCCCCGACAGCACTAACCAGCATGGGAGGCATAGCACGTTCCATCTGTCAGCAGCATTCCGCGGCTTCAAGCTCCCATGATTGGCAGCGAACACAGGCATAGGCGCACCCATACCCCCCACACCCGCAACCTATCCATCTCCCCCCCACTCACGTACTCCTTCCCCCCTCTCAGACGCTCCGCACCCCAGAAGCCTTACCAGCGTGGGAGGCATAACACGTGCCGTCTATCAGCAGGACCCGCGGCTTCAGGCTCCCGAAATTGGCAGAAAACACAGCCATAGGAGCACCCAGCCCTGCTGCTGCCATGGCCAGCTGGGGCGCGCGGGGTGCTGGTTCTTCTAATTCCGGTTCTGGTGATGGCTCTCGCGGTGAAGGTGGAGGGGGATGGTGAGGAGGGGAATTCTGAGTCAACTCAAAGGCTGCTGTACAGAGTGGTTCTGGTGGTGATAGTGGTGCTGCTGGCATTGGTGAAGGGGGTAGGGGGGAAAGGCAGTGAGGAGGAGGATTCGGTGTTGACTGGAAAGAAACGGCGAGAGGAACGGGGGTTTTCGTTGCAGTGCAGCGTTCTTGCCGTTCTTGCGAAATCTTGAAGCCACCTCTCTGACCCTCCCCACCTTCCTCTACCTTTCCCTCACTATCCGCTGCTGCTATTGCTGCGGGTTCTGCCTTCCCCCCCCAAGCTACTCTTGAGAGATAGGTAGGTGCAGAATCGAGCTCACTGGCTGCAGCAGTAGGTAGCCGCATTCGTGATTCTCCTGCGAGCGACGCACTGAACGCTGCTTCTGCTGTTTCTGCTGCTGCAGCTGTAATTGAGGCTGGTGGCAGCAGGGTATAGCTGCGATGTTGACGTTGTGCCATGCCACTGATGTGGCTCATAATAGCACAATGTCGATTATGGTCTTCCTGACCATGACACCGATGATGCACATGATGGATGGTGGCATGTTGATGTTGATAGTGATGCGGATGCTGCCGCAATACATCAAACGATCTGTGTTGTTGTAATGAACAATATTGACCGAGGGTAGCAGTGGATGCACCGTTACAGGCGCGATTAGACATAGGCCCTTCGCGTCTCCTTGTCAGTGCAGCAGCACCAGGACCAGCTGCTATTTCTGCTGCTGGAGGTGCTGCTGCTTTTGATGCTGCACCTGCTACGGCGGATGCCGATGCTGCCGATGCTCCTCCTCCTGCTGCTGCGGCTGCTGCTCCTGATGCTTCAGCTCCTGCTGCTGGAGCCCATGCTTGGACCCCAAACGGTCGTCGTAACGACACGTGGACTCTACTCCAGACACGCTGACACTGACCGGAACGCATTGTCTTCTAACCAGTAGGCGTTTCCCAGCCAGTAGGTGACTCACACAGCGGCGACTTTTGAGTTGACTCCAAAGTCACTGGCACTGACTGGAACGCATCGTCTTCTAACTATTAGGTCTCTCTCACCACCTACTTCCCGACCATGTGACCGGATCTCCCTCGCTAGCTGTATGTCCTGTTTGGCAGGAACCTAAGTGCGGTTTGGCTGGAGCTCAAGTGCGGTTTGTCAGGACTTTAAGCACCATTTCACAGGAACCGAGGTGCTGTAAGCCAAGTGCCGTATCCACGTCCACGACAGTGGTGGAGAGCGGTGCAGAAGAAAGACGCCGGATCCACGGCGGACCCCTCCCAACGACGAAAACAGGAGGTTTCGCGACAGTGGTAAGGGCAGACGATGCACCTTCGTACTCGGAACGAGTGTTTCCGCTAAAAAGGTCGAGTCCGGTACAGTAACGAACCCATATCCCTCAGCGATCGAATCTTGCTGACTATTGAGATGACAAGAAACAAGGAGGAGGAGGAGGAGGAGGGGGAAACTCTATTTTCTTGCGACGGCGCAGCACACGACTAGCGCAAAATGAAGGAATGAAACGCAGCTGGCTTTTGAAACGTCTCACGAGACGTCCACACGACACTGATGAAAACTGCCTCAGCGAGGGACGGAAGGGACAGAAGGGACGGAAGGGACGGAGCCTCCTCCTCCGAAGACTCAGCAGGTGAGACCACTGATGCGTTCAGTGGCAAGGGGGGGGATGAGGACGGAGCATAGCAGGAATTCCTAGAATCTCTGCGGAGAGCAGGAGGAGGGAGGGGGGGGAGGGGGTGGGGGGGGGGGGGGGGGGAGGGGGGGGGGGGGGGTGGTTGAAAGCAAGAGACGTGAGAGGGAAAAGGGAGCATTCTTTTCCTTGGGGATTGCCGAGGAAAAAAAATTCAATTTGTTTTGAGCTCGATTTGATTACACTGCGATATACACATTATCTCAACATGCCACATCTCCACGAATTGCGAACGCTCCCAAGGCGGGTACAACATTCTGGCGACGCGAGCTGTTCAAGAAGGTGTGCGAGCTTCGTCAGCCCCAAAAAAGGGTTTGACGACTCGCTTCCAGAGATCGTGTTACTACGTTACTTAATTCGGTCTGCCCAGCATCTGCTCTGAAGTGTTCTTCTGCCTGCTGCTTACTAGCCCTCCAGCCATCGCCAGCTAGTGTATTGCGCATCAATGCAGGACGCGGAATGCGCTAGCGCGGCGACGAAGGGTCCGTGACAAAGCGTCTGTGCCGAAGCGTCGAAGTATCCAGGACGAAGCTTCTCTGACACAGCATCTCTGACGAAGCGTTTGTGACAAAACGTTTGTGACGACGGATCAGCGCGGCCGTGCCGAAGCGTCGAAGCGTCCGCAACGAGGCTATTCACGTTCTTCCCTTCACGTGGCCTTTTCTGACGCGACTGCAGTAGTCCCAGACTGCTCCTTTTCGTAGCCGTTGTCGCGAGATCGGCGTCGCGATCATGGCGAGAGCGACGAAGTTCGTGAAGCCGATCGTGCTGTCCGTGTTCATGTCCAACCGCTACATCTACGCTCAGGTGCGCTATACACCTACGCGCAAGTGCATTCTTGCTGCTCCTGACTGCGTACATGGCGTGAAGCGGATCGTGCTGTCCGTGTTCATGTCCAACCGATACATCTACGCTCAGGTCCGTTTCATACAGCAGCACAGCTGCGTTTCGTCGTTTTGTCTCGTTAACGCCTACACGCGTTCTTGCCGTTCCTTCCTGTAATCTCTAGAGCACATGACGCATCCTGATTCCATCCAGGGGTCGCTAGCGCAAACATGCTCGTTTTCTTAGCTCAAGAGGGCTGTTTCAACGCATGTTAGACCGCAAACAGCCGCATAAATACTCCGCATGGGCCCTACTCATCCGCTCCCTCCCTTCCTGCTCGCCTCAACTACCCTGATTCAACCCTCCTCCCTCCCTCCCTCCTCCATCCCCTCACCCTCTTGTTCATCCCATTAACCCCAATCCCTCTAATTCCATAATCCCCCCTAATTTTCCAAAGTTTGCAGACATGACTCACCATTGTCCCTTGTTTGTGTCACTTCTTTTTCATCACCCTGCATCCTTCCACCTTTTTGTTACTGCTACTGTGGCCACTGCTGCCAACATACAGGTGGTTCATCAGCCAACAGCATTCACCCTCGCATCTGCATCCTCGATAGAAGCACCGCTGCGCAAGTCCCTTACAAGCACAAGCGATAAGATTGCAGCCACGGAGGTTGGAAAGGCTCTAGCCTCTCGCATGCTGGATAAGCAGATAGGCGCTGTGGCGTTTGAATTAGGGCCCACTCAAATGTACCATGGAAAGCTCAAGTCGTTGCTGGATGCACTTACTGGATCAGGAGTGAAGCTCCTTTGATATAAGAAAAGGGTTTCGGGTAGTGTTTATGCATTGCCCAGGTGCGTGTATCTTACTGGATTGCATTTGAAAGCTGTTGTTTGTGATTCTTCCTTCAAATTTGACGCTTTCCTGGGGCTGTGTTACTCTGATTTTGTATAGCTCTAGATGCCTAGATGAAGATTGAGCATTTTCTATCTGTATTTGCAATTTCAGCCTTTTCTCCTTGTTCATGTCCTTCTTCCAAATACACCCAACCTAATCGCACCTCACCCCAATCCACGACTAAGGTAATCATTTCTTTCCAGCAACATTCGATGCATCTGCTGGTGAGGTGATGTGCTACAGCACAAGCGTCGAGTGCGGCCAAGCGGTCGTCCCGTAGGCCCATCATCCATCCGTAAGGGGGTCGCTCGCACTGACACTGAGGGCGTATCCCGCTGATACATTTGATTGCGGTTGGGTGTGATGCTCTCTAATGTCAAAAGGTTCACAAAACGATATAAAACGGTTGAATAGAGTTCTAAGCGAGAAAGGCACGCGCGGCCCACAGGGTTCGCGGCAGTCTTCAGGCCTCCTTGCTGAAGAAGCAAATTGGCGCATAGTTTTGCGCCACCTCTCCGCCCGGAACCTTGAGTTCCTATTCCGTGCTTCAAAAGGTGTTGGCAGTGCATTCCTGAAACGCAACGAAGTTCACATCTTTTTATTGTAATCAAGGCTGACAGTGTGAACAGTGCCGTAAAACCGTGATAAATTGACTTTTCAGAGTTTTGATTTGAGTCTGGCAGACTGAGCGACTTCTATGGTTCACTACTGTACAGGGTAGCACCCCTTTCTGGTTCGTCTGACTGATCAGAAGCCCTGGGACCGTTCGCTGGCAATTTTCCGAGGGGAACGGGGAGGGGAACGGGCGACCAAATCCCGCGCGCATGGAATCTGCGCAGCCAAACCTACGTAATTTTTTTTGTGTGCCCCCGTACTTTGGTAATCATAACGTCGCCGGCTCATGATTACGTCTGTCACGACTGCAGGACTGGATAAGACAAACTCGTGGACAGTGAAGAGTGGGGCCCACCAAAGCCCTCTTAGCCCATCGCAATTTCGTGGAAAATCTAGCGGAGAAAATGAGATTCACACAATTTTGTCAAAACTGCCCATTTTTTTAACATTTCAAAATGTGACCGATTGGATGTGTATGAGCTGGCGCAATTGCGCAAATCGACGGGTAGGATTGAAGGGGAAGTGGCTGCGGTTTTTTTTTTGGGTTTCGTAAACCTGCCCAGCCAAGAGGCATGCCAATCTTGGCCTGCCTCATACCACGATTTTGCAGTATGAGGTGTGGCACGGAGTTTGCCTGGCAGCTCTGGGCGGCTGATGGCCGCGCTTCGGGTTTGGCATGAGAAGGAGCATGCGATTTGGGGCAATTGGTTTGGGGAAACCGAGCCGACGCAACGTTTTCGCATGCTGACGTCACGTTTCGCAAATTGGGTTCGGCGAACCCACGAAGCCTCGATCGATGTTCCCCGTACCTGATTTCCCTCGCCGTGCCGGTGAAAATTTGGCCAGCGAACGGCCCCCCTGTGCATGGGGATATTCCTCTCCCCTTCCCATTGTCAGCTTTGAATGTTCCCCACAGTTTCTCGATCTTGCCACACTTCTCGAAGCCGCTCCCTGCTTAGTTCTGTCAGCAGCTTGACACAACTTCGCCGGGTGGAAGCTAGTCTTTCTGCTGCATTTCTCTCAGGAGCGTTCGAGAATAGCTATAGCTATATCTGCCGGGTGACGTTAGGTCGAGGCGTACTCGCGGGAATCGTCGCCGACGATGGCGCTCTTTTCGGGTTGGGTGTTCGTCGTGAGGCCCGACCCCAATGACGGGGCGCCAGCTCTGTTACCGCGTTACCTGGTGCTTGCGAAAGCAAGCCTGCTCATGTACCGTCGCGACCCGATGCTCGTGAAGAACGAGGTGCGACGAGCAGACTGTAGATTTTAGCGCGTGGAACGACGTGTATTATGCAACATAATTAGATATCGTCCTTTCGATAGTAATTTCGTTTCGAGTGACTCAATACGTGATTAATATCACACAGACTGTATATTTTAGTCGTCGTGTAACGACGTGTATGCAACATAATTTAGATATCGTCATTGGCATTGCTCACCATTTAACTAGAGATGCGCTTTCCTTGTGGTGTTGAACATCTTTCGCGAGCATTTATTCACATTTCTTTGAAGACAACCCGCTTTTCACGCATCTGATCTTACGGTGTCGATTGCGTATATCTCGCTCCCTGTACCTTCTGACGCTTTCGGAATTTTCTATTCCCAACCGCGCAACATTTCCGTGTCCGAGCAGGAACCTGTGTCCAGCGGCGTGCTGACTCCGCAACTTGCGGTGGAGGACTGCGGACGAGAGGTTTACGCCGATGGACGGGTGAGATGAGAAAGGTGTACGCTGATGGACGGATGAGATATGAGATCGGGGGGGGGAGGGGGTGGGTGGGGTGGGGGTAGAACGTTCAGATGAGGAAGCCAGTACCATTGACATTGCATTGCTGCTGACATTGCAACTGACATTGCAGCAGACCTTGCAGCAGACATTGCTACCGACATTGCAACTGATTTTGCGACATTGCAACTGATATTTTTACATATACGTTGCTACTGGCATTGCTACTTACGTTATTCCTGACATTGCTGCTGACATTACTACTGGCATTGCTGCTCACGTTAGTGCCGACATTGGTGCTGACGTTGGTGCTGACGTTGGTGCTGACGTTGGTGCTGACATTCCTTCATTCCTCTATCCATCCCCGCTATAGGATCTCCGGGCCGGGCCATCTGAGTGTAGGTCCATGTGCAACAGTCACCTCCCTAACTCCCTCACTTCCTCCCAATTCGTGCCCCTCTGGCCTGTCTATCCCCGCTATAGGCTCTCCATGCCTTCCGGGTGTACAACAAAGCCATGCCGGACCAAGGCGGAAAGGTGAGAACGGGCAAAAAGGGGTTTCGTATTGAAAATAGAGAGGGAGGATGAGCGGAGGTGGACAGGTTGTGGCGATGAGCTGACGGAAGGGATGTGATGAACCTGCTTTTGAGTCGACTAAAAAATGGAAGGGATGTGATGAAGGAAACGGAGAAGGTGAAGGAGGGATGTGATGAAAGGGAGGGATGTGATGAAGGGAGGGGATGTGATGATGGGAGGGATGTGATGAAGCCCATGTAATTGCATTGAGGTGTCTAATTGCATATAAATCAATGTATTTAGCGATTCTCGCTTGACTGTGTCCATGCACCCACCAGGTGGCAACCACCAGTGCAGGAGCAGCTCAGAAGTGGATCACGGCCATCGAAGAATCGATCAAGGAATCTGTAAGCATCTCAGGCTGCATACCCGCTGCATGACACGAGGCGAATTGACACAAGATATGAACTTCCCCGCAGAGTCTTCCTTTCGCTGGAGCAGCTCAGAAGTGGATCACAGCCATTGAAGAGTCTGCCAAGGAATCCGGAAGCATCTTATTCTCCTTCCCCTTTCGCCTCCCCTCCACGTCTTCCCTCCCCCACGTCATCCCTCCTTACTCTTTCCTGCAGGCATTGCCCTTGGCGCCCCCCCATGCGGTGCAAGCACTTGCTTGCTTTCTGTCCACTTTTGAGTTGACTCAAAAAACACTTTTGAGTCGACTCAAAAGCAAACCCACGTCATTCTTCCTTACTCTTTCCTAAGCACTTTGCATTCTGTCCACTTTTCTCCATCAAGTTTTGGCCTCCCATTTCACCCAAAGCATCTTCTTCTTCCCTTCTTCCCTTCTCCCCTTCTTCCCTTCTTCCCTGCTTCCCGTCTTCCCTTCTTCCTTTCCAAAAGACTGCTTCCTTCTCCTTCGCCCCTCCTCCTCCCCCTACTCTCCCCCCTGATCTGGACCCTTATGCCACTGCCCAAGTCCTGCTGGTTTCCCTGCCTCTCGCCATTCCTCTTGCCTTTTTACCTCCCTCATCTCTCGTCACTCCTCTTGTCCTTTTCATCCTCACCTGTCTCCGCCACTCCTCTTGCCTCTCTGACTTCCTCTTGCATCTTTAATTTCTTTACTTTACCCAACACGCCCCCCCCCTCCCCTTCCCCCTTCTCTCTCTCTTCCCCTCGTGCATCTCTCTACTCATGATCATCTTTGCCCGTCCCTCAGGAGACTGGCGGCAAGGTAGAGAAAGCAACTGTGGGGTAAGTAAGCACCTATCGTTTTACACCTCGTTGGCTGACATGGCAGATGATACGGTCCTCGTTGGCGGACGATGCACAGTTTCGCATCTTGTGGGGAGGTGGGAACCAGTGAGGTGGTAACTAACCAGTGAGGTGGTAACTAACCAGTGAGGTGGTAACTAACCAGTGGGGTGGTAACTAACCAGTGAGGTGGTAACTAACCAGTGAGGTGGTAACTAACCAGTGAGGTGGTAACTAACCAGTGAGGTGGTAACTAACCAGTGAGGTGGTAACTAACCAGTGAGGTGGTAACTAACCAGTGAGGTGGTAACTAACCAGTGAGGTGGTAACTAACCAGTGAGGTGGTAACTAACCAGTGAGGTGGTAACTAACCAGTGAGGTGGTAACTAACCAGTGAGGTGGTAACTAACCAGTGAGGTGGTAACTAACCAGTGAGGTGGTAACTAACCAGTGAGGTGGTAACTAACCAGTGAGGTGGTAACTAACCAGTGAGGTGGTAACTAACCAGTGAGGTGGTAACTAACCAGTGAGGTGGTAACTAACCAGTGAGGTGGTAACTAACCAGTGAGGTGGTAACTAACCAGTGAGGTGGTAACTAACCAGTGAGGTGGTAACTAACCAGTGAGGTGGTAACCAACTGAGACCAGGGAGAATGAGAGCAGCTGAAGCTGACTCACAAGCTGGTTAGGAACTGCCGTTCATCCTGCTGCTTTGCCAATTTGCTCCTCCGCAGTGAAGTTATAAGTTGCTTGCAGGTCTTTTTGAGAATTCTGAAAGAAAGACCTTCAGAACTCTCACATTTCCCTTTCACGACGCCTTTCTGTCCACTCCTCCGTTCTCTCCCTACCCCCCTGCCCTCCCCATTCCCCCCTTCCCTGCCCCCGTTTTTGCAGGGAGCGCACTCTCTCTCGCTTGGTCTCAATCGGCCAAGGTGAGCTCTTCACTCTCCTCCAAATTCTTCCTTCTCCTCTTCATTCCCTCGCCCCCCTCTCCTCTACGTTCCCCCTCTTCCCTCCCCTCTCTTCCCTCCCCTCTCTTCCCTCCCCTCTCTTCCCTCCCTTCTCTTCCCTCCCCTCTCTTCCCTCCCCTCTCTTCCCTCCCCTCTCTTCCCTCCCCTCTCCACTACTCTGTTCAATCTACTCATGCACGTGGCTTCCGAGCCGCCACAAAACCTATATCCATTTGTTAATCTCCGTGCACTCTCTCCAAGCCACTGTCTGCTTGCCTTTCTACCTCTATCCCATCATCTCCATCTCCCCCCCCATATTTCCCCTGTCATGTCACTGCCCCCTGCCTGCCTTCTCCAGGCCTGGGCGGCATCTTCACACAGGAGATGCAGGCTTACGTGGACGTGGACGTGGGAGGCTTGAGAGTCGGCTCATCAGTGCTGCTGCCTCTTCCACTCCCCTCTCCCTCCCCCCCCCCCTCCCCCCATCCAACCCCTCCCCCCCCCGCCCCCCCCCCACTCTCACCTCTTTCCCTGCATCCTCCAGGCCTGGGCGACATCTTCACTCGTGAGATGCAGGCAGACGTGGACGTGGGAGGGGACGCGGTGGAAACCACCAAGTGGAGGATCTTCAAAGTCGCTGACGGTAGGGATTGGCCCTCTTCCTCCCCTTCTTCTCTAGCCTTTATTAGGCTGCTTCTCCGTCCCTCGTTGCCTCTGAGGCGCTTCAAAAGCAGTGGAACGTGGGAGGGGATGCGGTGGAGTGGAAACCACCAAGTGGAGGATCTTCAAAGTCGCTGACAGTAAGAATAGCCCCTTTTCACCCATCTTACTGCCCCTCCCTCTTCCCCACTCTCCATCATCTAGTATTAGGCTGTTCCCCTGCCTCCTCTCGATTGCCTTCAACCACACAATATTCCTCTCTCCTTCCTCTCTCTCTCCCCCGGCCGCCCCCTTTCCCCCCCTTCCTCCCCCGCACCCTCTCCCCCCCCCGCCGACGTGTTTCAGGCCTTCGATTCTTCCATGAAGCATCTGAGGTGAGGCGAGGGACTATGGGGGTGGGATCCATGGGTCGGGTAAATCATGTGTTGGGAAGGTGTGTTGGAGCTGGGGGAAGGGGGGGGGAAGGGGGAAGGGGGGTAACGGAGCCCGTGTTGGAGCTGGGGGAAAGCGTGAAAGAGAGGAGAGAAGCACTGGAATGCCTTGGGATTAACATGCTGACATGGCTTGGCAGGACTCCAATATGCGTATCCAGGGAACTGCGCGCATGGCTGATCTGAGACGATGGAAAAGACACCCCTGCAGCAGCAGGAGTGCCTGTGTTCATCGCAGCACCGGCCGCGTTCGGTCCCCCAGGCAGCCGCAGCCCCCCAGACACAGGCAGCGTATCCAGCCCCTATTGCTGCTTCTCTGCTGCTGTTGCCCTGCACAGCACGAGCCCTCGGCTTCTGTATGCTGCTCAGACACCTCTCACGACAGGCAGCCCCCCAGACACAGGCGGCGTATCCAGCCCCGGTCGCTGCTGCTCTGCTGCTGCCCTGCACAGCACGAGCCCCAATCGTGCTGCTGCTCAGACACCCCTCACGTCTGTGTGGTGTGTGCATTCCCACAGTCATATAGTCAACCACACTGCCCCATTCATAGTCCCACGCGATTACGCTGTTAACCACTCACGCTGATGCTTGTGTATGACTTGAATCTTGATGGCACTGCATGTGTGTGGATTGTGTGCGTGCGTGCGTGGGTGTGTGTGTGTGTGTGTGTGTGTGTGTGTGTGTGTGTGTGTGTGTGTGTGTGTGTGTGTGTGTGTGTGTGTGTGTGTGTGTGTGTGTGTGTGTGTGTGTGTGTGTGTTTGTACATGTGCATGTTTCTGTGTCCCAACAGGAAGGGTTTGAATCGCTGATCAAGGCAGAGGGGGTGGTGGAGGCGTCGGCTGACAGCATCTTCGAAGTGCTCATGAGCACCAGCGCTGCTCTCTCAATGCAGTAAGCTCTTCTTTCCTCCCCATGCAGTGAGCTACCACATACTCACACGTACATGCATGCAAGCACCAGTGGAGCTCACTCTGGAGAGAGCGTGTGTGCGGTGGAGAGAGAGATCGTGGGATCGAGAGCTAGTGGGGGGGGCAGTGGATGGCCACATGTTATTGAAACCTGCATTCCCTCTTCCCTCTTCCCTTTCACCCTTCCCATTTGCAGAGATGCGTTCACAGTGAAGAATGAGGTGGGGGAGGGGGCAGTGAGTGGTCAGTTGACCACAATATCTACCACTCCTTTCCTCCCCCCCCTCCCCCTCGCCCCCCCCCTTCCGCCCAATCCCATTTATCTCATTTGCAGATGGGACAAGTTTACGGTGGAGAATGAGGTGGGGGAGGCAAGGGATGGCTGGCTGATTTGATACGGCCCTTATTTCTCCTCACATGACTTCCTCTCCCCTCATTTCTCCCATCCCGTGCCTTCTTTCTTCCCCCACCCCCCTTTTCCTCCCCTCGTCCTCCTCGTTCGCCCTGCCAGGTGGGACACGTTTACAGTGGAGAATGAGGTGGTGGAGGCAGTGGATGGCCACACAGACATCATTTTCGCTATTGTCACAAACAGGCAGTACACGCACGGGTGAGTTTTTACATGTAGCTATTCTCCTGTTGTCACATCCACACAACTTGCATATTCTTCGCTATTGTCACCAACAGGCAGTACACTCATCATCGGTGAGTCTTGAATGTAACGAATCTCCTATTCCAATGAATCACGAGTCTTGACATGTAACGAATCTCCTATTGTAACGAGTCTTGACATGCAACAGGACGTGGTGCCCCTCTCAGCCGCCCCCTGTTGCTTGAGTGGATTCGATTGCAGTAAGCCACTGGGACTGAGACTGCTCTGCCTATCTGAAGCATGCTAGATCCAAGGAAGCGGCTTAAAAGGAAATACTGCCCCTCTCGCACATCCCTGTCCCGTCCCCCCCCCCCCCCCCCCTTTCCCCCGCCCCCGCTTCCCCATTTCTACACCCTGGCTTCCCTATTTTTCCCCCTCCGCTTCCCCATTTCCCCCTCTGCTTCCCCAATTTTACCCCCTCTGCCCCATTATCTCCCCCCGGCTTCTCCGAGTTGCGTTCCCATCTTTGCAGGAGGCCCCTTGAGAAGGAAGTGCTGGCCTCTCGCACCTGGAGGCGCAACCACGACGGGTCCTATGGTGAGATGCCGATGGCTGTTATGGGGGTTGATTGAACAATATAGCCCGATGGGACGATGGTGGTCTATGAGGTGTCGTTTTCTGTGGTGAGGTTTGGCTGATACAGTTGTCGAGTCTGTGGTTGCTTGGCTGCACAGCGGTATGAATGACTGAACGCATCCCTCCGCTCCCTCTGCTCCCCATTCCGCCCACTGCCCTTTCTCTCCCCTTGCCCCCCTTCCCACTCCCCCCCGTTCCCTCCCCCATCTTCCCCCCGTTTTCTCTCCTTTCCTTCTCCAAGCATCCCCATATGCACCACCAGTTACGACAGCAAACCTCCCTTCTCTATTTCTGCTCTCTCCTTCCCTTCCCCTGCCCTCCCCTTCCCCCTTTTTTCCCCACCCCTCCCCTATCCCCTCCTCTCCAGGAATCACCACGTTCAGCACCAGCCACGAGAGCGAACCCCCCTTTGCTCCTCCCTCTGTTACACGCCGTTCCCCCATCCCTCTTTCCCGTCCACTTCCCCCCCACCCCTCCCCCATCCCTCCCCCACCCCTCCCCCACCCCTCCCCCACCCCTCCCCCATCCCTCTCCCACCCCTCCCCCATCCCTCCCCACCCCTCCCCCACCCCTCCCCCATCCCTCCCCCATCCCTCCCCCACCCCTCCCCACCCCTCCCCCACCCCTCCCCCATCCCTCCCCACCCCTCCCCCACCCCTCCCCCATCCCTCCCCCATCCCTCCCCCATCCCTCCCCCATCCCTCCCCCATCCCTCCCCCATCCCTCCCCCACCCCTCCCCCATCCCTCCCCCACCCCTCCCCACCCCTCCCCCACCCCTCCCCCATCCCTCCCCCACCCCTCCCCCACCCCTCCCCCATCCCTCCCCCATCCCTCCCCCATCCCTCCCCCATCCCTCCCCCATCCCTCCCCATCCCTCCCCCACCCCTCCCCCATCCCTCCCCCATCCCTCCCCCACCCTCCCCACCCCTCCCCCCCCCCCCATCCCTCCCCCATCCCTCCCCCACCCCTCCCCCACCCCTCCCCCACCCCTCCCCCATCCCTCCCCCATCCCTCCCCCACCCCTCCCCCATCCCTCCCCCACCCCTCCCCCATCCCTCCCCCACCCCTCCCCCACCCTCCCCCACCCCTCCCCCATCCCTCCCCCATCCCTCCCCCATCCCTCTCCCCTTCCCTCCCCTTCCCTCCCCTTCCCTCCCCTTCCCTCCCCTTCCCTCCCCTTCCCTCCCCTTCCCTCCCCTTCCCTCCCCTTCCCTCCCCTTCCCTCCCCTTCCCTCCCCTTCCCTCCCCTTCCCACCCCTTCCCTCCCTTTCCCTCCCGTTCTCTCCAGGCATCACCACGTTCACCACCAACCACGACAGCAGGCCTGCGAACGCGCGCCGCCCTCGACTTGACTTCGCCTGTGAGTGCTTTTTAACTGGGCTTCACTTCGAGACGTCCATTGCAAACCGAGCACCGTCATCAAGCTTCGGATTTAACCGTGAAATCTGGAGGTTTAGGCCTGGGGGTTTGTGAGTACGAAAAGTGCTCGTTACCAGTAGTGATTCGCTAATGCATTGTGTGCCCCCATTCCGGCCCTCCTCCCCTCTGCTTTCTTTCTTTCCGTCTCTTGCTCCTGGTAGTGGGCTCATTTGCGACGCTTCCTTTTTTGTCCCTTTTCTCTCTGTCCCTCTGTCCCTCTGTCCCTCCTTCACTGCATACCAGTGGGCTCATGGGACATCCTCCCTCTCACCCCCTCTCGTCCCAAGCACGGCCACGTCAAATGCCTCGTGCGCCACGTCATCGAACTCGGCTCTGCACCTCCCCCCTCCTCCTCCTCCTCCTCTCTCGCCTCCTCCGCCTCCTTTTCTCACTCCGCCGAAACCCCTCCCACTCCTAGCAGGCGCTCTGCCTCTCCCCACCACTTCCACCCCGGCTCCTCCTCCCCCATGCACTCGCCTCTCCCCAACCCCGCACACGCGGTCGCGGGTGTGGCAAAAGCAGCAGCGGGGAGGCCAATCTCTTTCATAAAGGGTCTGATGAAGGAGAAGAAGGAGAAGGACGGGAAGAAGGAGAAGGGGGGGGATATGCTGAAGTCTGCGTCGGTGGCGGCGGGGGGAGGAGGGGGGAATGGTGTGGGAGGGGTGACGCCGGCGCAGCACGGGGGTTCGTTGGGGGAGGTGGAGGAGGAGGGGGAGGCGGTGGCGCATGTGGCGTTTGAGGAGTTTGCGGATTCGTTCCCGTACGCGTCGCTGTGCCGCATTGCTGGTAGGGATTCATGCCATCGTGGGAATGTGTGCATGCATGGGTGTGGAAGATTGAGAAGGCTCGTGTGTTTCAGTATGCATCACGATGCCGCATTGCAGGTACGGAGTTGTATGGAGTCGTAGGGAGTTTAGGGCGTGTCACATTTTCACGAACAGCTTCCGTCCGAACCGAACATTTACCGCACTGTACCACGTACCGCAGCACACCATATCGCTTTCAACCTCTCTGAATGGTCGACCCTGATCCATGTTCGTAAACATTGTGACACGCCCTTTAGGGTGGTGTAGATAAACACTCTGGTGTTTGAGGAGTTAGCGGATTCGTTTCTACAGACACCGTGGAGGAAGATGTAGAGCGGTGTAAATTGGTGTGGATCGGTCGGTCTGGGCTGGTCAACTGTGGCGTTTGGGGAGTTAGCAGATTCGTTACCTTATGGCTCGCTGTGCCACATTCCAGGGAGGGTGGAACGGGGCGGTTCACAGGATTTCAAAGTGGTGTGAAATGGTGTGGAGCAGGTGGAGAGGAGGAGAGGAACACAGTCGAGATGGTTGCCAGGCAGATTGTAATCAATGCTTTCTCCTGATTCACTTCACACACCTCGCGCATCCCCATCCCACCCAATCATCTAACCCACCCCGTTCCTCGCGTTATGAGTCTGTTTTTGAACCGACTCAAACATGGACTCATAACGCATGCACGCATCCCACCCAATCATCTAACCCACCCAATCATCTAACCCACCCAATCATATAACCCACCCAATCATCTAACCCACCCACCCCATCCCTCCCTGGCTTGAGGGAGTATTTCGCGGTGCAGCCAGCAATGGAGGAGAATGTGGGGAGGAGCACAGACGAGATGGTTGCCAGCCTCATGGAATCACACCAGCTTTGGGGGCCCCCAAGTGACCTGCCTGCCAACTTGCCCGCCTTCCCTCCCTCCCCGCCCCCACTCCCCAGGCTTGAGGGAGTATTTCGCGGTGCTGCCAGCGATGGTGGAGAAGGTGGGTGGAGCTCAGACGAGATGGTGGCTCGTTGGGGTCAGCTCAAGCGATTCTCGTGCCCACATTTCGCCTGTGCCCACCTCGCAGGTCTGAGGGAGCACAGCAATTCGCTGCCCAGCCTGCCATGGAGGAGCATGTGGTGGAGAGGAGCACAGACGAGATGGTTGCGAGCCTCATGGAATCACACCAGCTTTGAGGCGCCTCAAATTGACCTGCCTTCTGCCTACCTGCCCGCCTTCCCCCCACGCCCCCACCTCCAGGCTTGAGGGAGTATTTCGCTGCCCAGCCTGCCATGGAGGAGCACGTGGAGAGGAACACAGACGAGATGGTGGCCAGCCTCATGGAGAGGACGGAGTCGCTTGAGGACCAGTTCTTTGACGCTGAAGGCGAGGAGGCGGAACCCGCTAAGGTGTGTGCGCGTGCTTCTAAAGAGTACAATAGGCACAGGAGAGGTGACACGAGAGGAGCAAGGAACACGGACGAGATGGTTGCAAGCCTGATGGAGAGGACTGAGCCGCTTGAGGACCAGTTCTTTGAAGTGAAGGGGAGGAGGGCGCAGAACCCGTTCAGGTGTGTTTGTGCGTGCTTATGAGATGGCCAGGAGAGGTTTCACTAGAGAGGTTTCACTAGAGGAGCAAGTGCCAGAGAGTGACCGAGGTGTGGTTGCCAGTCTGATGGAGAGGACGGAGTCTCTTTTCCCCCTGTTGCTGTAGTTCTGTGGCCCTAAAGAGGGGAAGGCGATCGAGAGTTGCTTATAGGTTTGCGAACGAGATTTGCTTATAGGTTTGCGAACGAGATTTGCTTATAGGTTTGCGATCGAGATTTGCTTATAGGTTTGCAAACGAGATTTGCTTATAGGTTTGTGAACGAGATTTGCTTATAGGTTTGCGAACGAGATTTGCTTGTAGATTTGCGATCGAGATTTGCTTACAGGTTAGCGATCGAGATTTGCGTCAAGGTTTGCGATCGAGTACAAAGGTAGAGCAGGTACATGAGAGAAGTTGAGGAGCAAGGTTTGCACAGATGCGCCCCCCTAAGAGTGTTCACTAATCGGGCATCAAGCGGATGGTGCAGTTTACCTCTCAACTAGAATAGATTCCCACTCCCTTTGTCCCTACATTCCCTCTCGCTCGCTCCCTACATTCCCTCTCGCTCTCTTCCTACATTCCCTCGCGCTCTCTCCCTACATTCCCTCTCGCTCTCTCCCTACATTCCCTCGCGCTCTCTCCCTACATTCCCTCTCGCTCTCTCCCTACACTCCCTCTCACTCTCTCCCTACATTCCCTCTCGCTCTCTCCCTACATTCCCTCTCGCTCTCTCCCTACATTCCCTCTCGCTCTCTCCCTACATTCCCTCTTACTCTCTCCCTGCACTCCCTGTGGTCCCCTACCCCTCTCTTCCCTCCCCCCACCCCGCACCCCCACTCCTCCCCCCTTTCCTCCACCCCCTGCAGCAAAAGGTGTCGGCCAAGGCTCGCTGGCAGGGGCTCAAGTGGATGGTGCAGTTTGGGTTCCGCCTGCGCTCACGTGAGTGCCTGCTTGGGGTGTGGGCAGAAGGGACGGGGGTTGAGGGCATGTGGGCAGAAGGGACGGGGGTTGAGGGCATGTGGGCAGAAGGGACGGGGGTTGAGGCATGTGGGCAGAAGGGACGGGGGATACGAGGGGGCTCAAGTGAATTGTGCAGTCAGTCAGGCTTCCGTTTGCAATCAGGTGAGCCTTTCGTTCGGGTGTGGGCTGAAGGAACGGCTGTGGCGGACATGCGCGCTGTGCTGCAGAGGGGCTCAAGTGGACAGTGCAGTTTGGATTCTGCCTGCGCTCACGTGAGTGCCTTGGTTGGGGGTAGTGCTGTGTGGTGCGAGTGCCTGGAAAAGGAGTGGTGGCGGAGAAGGAAAGGAGGAGGGCAAGCAGAGGTGGGTGGGAGGTGTGGCGAGAACTGCTGGCGGAGGCCACACCGTGGATCTGGCAGCCTTATGGGAGCAAACGAGGGCTTCAGCCTCCCTGCCGTCTTCCCTCCCTCCATCCCTCTCCATCCCTCTCCATCCCTCTCCATCCCTCTCCCCGGTCCCCTTGGCCCCCTTACTTACCTCCCTTCCCAACCCCTACCACTCGCTCTCACTCACACCCCCAGTGTTTTTGGTTGTTGAGGAGGACAAGTAGAGGTGGGAGGTGCGGCGAGAGCTGCAGGAAGAGGTCACACCGGTGGACCTGGCAGCACTGGGGGAGCAGATGCAGGCAGCAGCCTCCCTGCCTCCTGCCTTCCCTTCATCCCTCTCCCTCCGCTCTGCCTTCTCCTTATCCACCCCCTCCGTGCCCATTCTCCTGCCCCCTCTGACTCTCCCTCCCCCTCGAGCCCCCAGTGTTCTTGGTTGAGGAGGAGGAGGACAAGGAGAGGTGGGAGGTGCGGCAACTGAAGCGACTCCTTCATCCCTCTATGCCCACTTTCCCCCTTCCAGTGTTCCTAGTGGAGGAGGAGGAGGAGGACAAGGAGAGGTGGGAGGTGAGGAGAGAGCTGCAGGTAGATGTCACGCCGGTGGACCTGCCGGCACTGGGGGAGGAGATGCAGGCAGCGGCCTCCCTGCCTCTTGGGAAGGACCCCAAGGACGCCCATGCGTGGAAGCAGGCGGTGGCGGATAACTTCTGTGTGCGCGGGGCGACATACCTCTCGGATGGAATCAAGGTGCGTTCTCTTCTCTCTTTGGTCTGACCATCTTGCTCTTGTGAGGAAACAAGGCACATGCCGGTGGACCTGCCGGCACTGGGGGAGAAGATGCAGGCAGCGGCCTCCCTGCCTCTTGGGAAGGACCCCAAGGACGCCCATGCGTGGAAGCAGGCGATAGCTGATAGCTTCTGCGTGAGCGGGGCAACTTATCTATCGGATGGGATCAAGGTGGGCTTGCTTTGAAGTGCTTCTGCTTGCTCTGGGGATCGGTGAGGGCAGCAGCCTGCCTCCCTGCCTCTAGGGAAGGACCCCAAGGACGCTCATGCATGGAAGCAGGCGGTGTCAGACAACTTCTGTGTGCGCGGGGCGACCTACCTCTCTGATGGGATCAAGGTGCGTTGCTTTGAAGCCATTCTGCTTAACTGCAGAGACTGTTGAGACCACACGCCTCCCTGCCTGTTGGGAAAGACCTCAAGGATGCTCTTGCATGGAAGCCAGCAGGCTCGAGTTAACTCTCTCACTTGCTTCTCTCTCACCCACCTCTCTCCCACCCACACCTCTCTCACCCTGGTTTCTGACCCTCCTCTGTTTCAACCTATTTCACCCTCCTCTGTTTCAACCTATTTCACCCTCCTCTTCCACTTCTCTCACCGGATCCCAGCAGCCCAACCCCTTCTCTCCCTCCTCACAGTGGGCTGGTTCAAAGACCCTCTCCCTTACCCTCACCCTCTTCTCACCCTCTGTTCCTGTCTCCGCTTCTCGCATTCACCCTCTCTCACCAGATCCCAGCAGCGCAGCCGCTTCTCTCCCTCCTCGCTGTGGACTGGTTCAAATCCGACACCCGCATTGACAACGTGGCGGCAAGACGTGGCTCCCTCATGCAGGTATAGATTTGAGGCGCCTCAAAACGTGGCGGCAAGACGTGGCTCCCTCGTGCCCGTATAGACGGGGATGCGGGTGGGACTGGCTTGAATGAGACTCTCAATTTGACAATGTGGCGGCTAGGCCGGGCTCCCTCATGCAGGGGTTGGAAGAGGAATGGTGATGGGGGGAATAGAGAGGGTCTAGTTTTGAGGCGCCTCAAAACTGGAATGGTGATGGGGGGAATAGAGAGGGGTCTAGTGAGATACAGGAGAGGGAAGGGAGGAGAGGGAAGAAGAAAGGGCAGGACTGGCAGTGGATTGGTTGAAGTCAGACTCTCAAATTGACAACGTGGCGGCTAGGCCGGGCTCCCTCATGCAGGTATGGAGAGGGGGAGAGAGGGAGGGCGAGCGAGACAAAGCGGGGCGCAAGAGAGGGGGACGGGTTCAAATCCGACTCTTGCATTGACTACATGACAGCTCCCGTTCGTCTCTGTGCTCAACCTGCTCAACCTGCAACTTCCCAGCAAGCCCAGCTACTGGTGCTTTGCTGGCATTGATACCTTCGCCGTCCTTCCCTCCCTCTCTACTTCCCGCCTTCCCTCCTCCCCCCTAGTAACCCCAGTCGGAAGCAGACAAGAAGCTTCTGTTCGACTTTGTTCTCAACCTGCAGATCTTCGGAAAGCCCAGCTACTCGGCTGTCGCTTACTTCGCTACCTTTGTCCTTCCCTCCTTCCCTCCTCCCCCCTGTTAACTCCAGTCGGAAGCAGGCAAGAAGCTTCCGTTCGTCTTCGTGCTCAACCTGCAAGTGCCTGGCAAGCCCAACTACTCGGCTGTTGCTTACTTCGCTGCTGATCGGCCCGTGAAGCCGGACTCTCTGCTGGGCCGATTCGTGAACAGCGAGGAGGATTCTTTCCGCAACAGCCGCTTCAAGCTCATCCCCCGCATTGAGGAGGTATGTGCGTTGTTGACCCCAGCCTTTAGGCTGAGAGGCTAACCCGGCAAGCCAGACGGTTCCTACCGCAACAGCCGCTTCAAGCTCATCCCCCGCATTGAGGAGGTACGTGCGTTGTTGACCCCAGCCTTTAGGCTGAGAGGCTAACCCGGCAAGCTAGACGATTCCTACCGCAACTGCCGCTTCAAGCTCATCCCCCGCATTGAGGAGGTACATGCGTTGTTGACCCCAGCCTTTAGGCTGAGAGGCTAACCCAGCAAGCCAGACGATTCCTACCGCAACAGCCGCTTCAAGCTCATCCCACGCATTGAGGATGTGCGTGCAAGGTGTGCTGTGACCGAACCCAATGACTTTTTAGGCGAGTCAAAGCGAGGTCCCTTTTGAGTGGAGTAAAAAAACACGTGCGGTGATCACTCGTTAAAGCTGCACCCATTGCTGTGGCAGCTTGCCTTGCCTTGCTACTCTCTCTCTCTTTCGCACTACCTTCTCCACCTTTCAGACCACACGGCGTCTGGGCAGTGGGAACAAAGCCTGGCTGCGACTAGACTCATTCATACCTCTGCCCTGCTCGCCCCTTACTCCTCTCCTCTCATCTCTCATTGTCCCTTTCTGACCGCAGGGCTTCTGGGCAGTGAAAAGGGCTGTGGGGACAAAGGCTGCTATTCTCGGCAAGGCGCTGACCTGCAGCTACCACAAGGGGGAGAACTACCTCGAGGTAGGGAAGAAGGATGGATGACCTGGTGAAAGGACTAGCTGGAGAGGTATGTGCTTGAGTGTGCCAGCCAGCTCACATTGCTTGGTGCAGCAACCACCCACCAAGGCTGCTTGTCTTGGCAAGGCACTGACTTGCAGCTACCACAAGGGGGAGAACTACCTCGAGGTTGACAGAGTGACATAAGGGGGAGAGGTAGAAAGCGAAGGACAGTCACAAGGGGTCACCTTGCAGTGCGGCTTCTACAAAGAGGGCTCAAAGTGTCTTTTTGCCAGTGTTGTGCTGCCTTGTGTTGTGCTCAAATGTCTTCTATATTTTTCAAATTTCCCCCCTTTTTCCTTTCCGTTTTCCTTTCCTTTTTCCTTCCCTTTTTGTGAACAGATGGACGTGGACGTTGGGTCCTCCTCTGTCGCCCGCAGCGTCATTGGCCTCGTGCTGAGCTACGTCACTTCACTCGTTGTCGACCTTGCTCTGCTGATTGAGGTCAGTATGCCACGCGCTGGCTCTCTGATTATCTGAATAGTGCGCCAAGGTCACGCTACTTCACAACTCCTGGAGAGTCGCAGTGTCGTTGGTCTTGTGCCCAGGTATGACACCTCGCTTGTGGTCTACCTTGCGCTGTTCACTGAGGTGGGATGAGTCTACTTCCCTCCTTCCTCCCTCATTGGGCTTGTGCTCAGCTTTGTTCCCCCCCTCCTTCCTCCCTCTCTTTCTCTCCCGTTTACACTTTGTAGGCACAAGCTGCGGATGAGTTACCTGAGTACCTCTTGGGCACTATCACTCTGATGCGCCTCGAACCAAAGAAGGCTGTCGACCCGCCTCCTGCATAAAATGTATTTTTATTAAGCATATGCCAACCAACTATGAAGATCCCATCTTCGCAATGCACCTATAGTATGGGCTGACATAGTATTGATTATTCATGTTTCTTGTGTTGCTTAGAATGTGCATGAGTGTTTGGTGGCAGGTACCCTTGCAGAAATAGCAATTCATCCGATTTGGCTACAACCACTTTACATGATAATGAATCAGGGCCTCAGATTGCAGGCTTTTTACCCTGATTCAGGGTAAAATCAGGGCTTTTTCGGGGGGTGACCCTGATGAGACAGGATTTTTGTAAGACACGCCTGAAATTTCAGCGTTTTTTAAGGAGTGAACTCTGATCGATCAGCGTTACTAGTGTAGTGAGCCCTGTGTGTCCAGATTCGTGTAATAGCAGATTCGCAGCCCCCACCCCTCCACCCGTGATTTCCGTGAGTTTCCCCAACTGCCCCTTGTCAATCCCGCCGCCTTGAGTGCGACTGTCCATTTTTGTTTCCGACGCGGTCGTACTTTCAGAGCCCAAACCTAGCCTTGGTCCCTCTGCGCCTGCTGCCATTGAGAACCCTGCTACCGCATAATACTAGGCATATATTACACAGCGTGCTCACTGTATAATCATGTTTACTCAGCGTGAAAATTTCTAGGGACCCTGATGGATCAGGGAAATTTTTTTGGAGAGGCCTGAAAAATCAGGAGACCAAGGTGGGGGGACGCTGAGCTATCAGGGTGCCTCTAAACGAATCTGAGGCCCTGTAATGAATACAACATGGACTTTGTTTGTTCAGGCATGAGAGCATTGAAAGGATGGTGCAATGCGAGGGTGGATATGGGATAAGATGTTTTTCTAAATTGTGCTGATTGGGGTTGAATGTTACCATGCTCATTTCCTTTAAAGAGAAATTGAGCGGAGCGATTTCGAGTATGAACAATCCGTGGTGCACCACCCACCCTGCCCTCGAATCCCAAAAGTTTTGGGTAATTTCAGTCACTGGAACCATGCCACTCGAGCCCCTTTCACCCGCAAAACCCTCCCCTCCTCTCCCCTTCTTTCCTTCGCCCCGTCGCGTCAAAAGACAAAACCAGAGCAAGCGTGTGATATGAAATCGATGTTTCCTGACGTCACAGAGCGTTTCTGTGCGCTTCTGCGCGTTATAGAATTATACAGTACGTTCAAATACGGTGACTAGTCTCAATGGTGAGACGATCACTACTCCCCACCTCACTTTCTCCCCCCCACTGGTCTCCTCCCTCTGCCTCCCTCCCTCCCTCCCTCCACCCATCATAACCTCGCTCCCCTCCAAACTCCCTCTCCTCTCTCCTCCCTCTGTTGGTTACCAGGACTTCCACGCGCGCCGCTGCTCCACCCTAACCTGCCGCCATGGTTAGTCACGTCCTTCGTCGTAATTGCCTCGAGTCGCTTACCCCGCCAGATTAGCCTTGCTGTGATTCTCCGATCGTTGTTTCCACTAGGCCGGCTTACCCTCCCGATTCCGCCGCGACTTTCGCGATTTTAGGGTTTGCTGTCAAGATTAAATTACCCTCCTGATCATGCTCGTCTAATGTTTCCTTGGTGCTAGACACCAATCCCTCCTGATCATGTTCGTCTAGTGGGTACCCGGGTTTTAATCCGCGTCTTTCAAGATTAGACCCATCCATTCGCTCCTCGGATACTCGCTCAAATGCTCGCTCGTCCGTTTTCCCCGTGCCGGTTCCCGGCAGCCTTGTGGAGAAGCAGATGAAGATCAAGCGGTAGAGGGCCGTCCGCATCAAGATGTAGCTCGACTGTGACTGCATCAAGCAGATGAAGTCGAGCCGAGGAATGAATGTGCCTCTGGCTCCACCTCCCACCTCCCACCTCCTCCCTCCTCCCGGCGCTCCGCCCTACCCCCCCGGCGCAGCCGTCCCACAAGCCCCCCCGCATCAATCTCGAGCTCGCCAAGTAGATGAAGCGAAACCGTCAACGGAATCATTTTCTCCTCCTCCATCCCTTCCCCCCTTCCCCCCCCCTTCTTCCCCCCCCCCCCCCCCCCCCCCACCTCCCTCCCCTTCCATTCCTGTCCGTGCCGTGCGCCGCCGTGCAGCCGTCCCACAAGGCTCTCCGCATCAAGCTCAAGCTCGCCAAGAAGATGAAGCAGAACCGGCCCATTCCGTACTGGATCCGCCTGCGCACCGACAACAAGATTCGGTAGGCTCGATGCCCGCATAACTAACCCTAGCGCTGTCCTCATCAATCTCGTCACTATGCTCGTCAGTAATGGCTGGACGGCCTAGATATGAGGCAGAACCGGCCCATTCCGTACTGGATCCGCCTGCGCACCGACAACAAGATTCGACAGGCGGTAGGTTCGATGCTATTTTTCTCCTCATCACAATCCTTGGCTCTCAGGGATTTGGGAAATGGACGGAAGGTCGAACTTCTTGGAGTCGGGAAAAGCAGAATCGGCACATTCTCAACTGGATTCGCCTTCTCTCCTCATCGGCACATACCTTGATTTGTTTTTCCCCCTTTTCCCGAGATTTGGCTTTTCAGTCATGAGGTGAACGTTTAGCTTCAGAGCGCAAAGCTAGTCCGAGTGGGCATAGATGATCACCTGTTGAGAGAATCCTCTCATGCAGCTGGTTTCGAGAATTCTGATTATCAGCTGTTGACCAAGCAATAAGGCTGTCAGCAAAGCTGGCGCCAATAGGTATCCATAACGCCAATGGACAATGAGGAGATTTCTGAGAATTCTAAAAAATCTCTCACATGGTGGCCACCAGCTCCTCGTTGTTGCCCATCGCATCCACTCCCCATCTTATCCTCCTTCATTCTCTTCCGCTCTCTCACACTATACCGGTCAACCTCTCTCCCCCCCTTCCTCTCACTCACAACCCCCCTCTCCGTCCCACGCACACTCGCTCGCACGCACGGCCCGTGTGCCGGAACGCGAGGGACGAAAATTGAGAGCCCAGCTGGTCCAACGAGCAGGTGTAGCGAGCATGTTGAGAGAGCAGGTGTAGCAAGGCGATCCTGGGTAGGCAATGCTTTACGGCTATCTAGTCCAGCTCCGTGCCGACAGTTGAGAGCTGATTTGACCCCTTGATCCGTTTACGGCTTTCCGTGTACGGCAGGTGAAGTGAGGTGACTTTTGAGTCGACTCCAAAGTCACCAGGTGAAGTGCAGTGCAGTGGACGATCGCGGGCGAGCAGAAGACCAGTTCTGAGGCGATAGTTTTGTTTGGTTTCCGAGGCTGTAGTCACGCGTCAGTAGTTCTGCTTTACGTACCAGTAGTACCGCCTACTATACCAGTAGTACCGCCTACTATACCAGTAGTACCGCTTTTGAGTACCACTAGCAGGCTAGAGGGTCAGCAAGCAGAGGCAGGTCGCTTCCCTAGCCCTGGTGGCGTGTGATGAAGGGGGAGGGGGTTGGGGAAGTGGGGGGAAGGGGGGTGGGGGAGGGGGGGGCATTTAAGTGGGAGAAGGAGGGGCAGAGGAGTGGGGAAAACCCTCCAGTTGGATTAATCCGTCTCCTTAGCAGGTCGAGGGGACTTAGGGCGCAGAGCGTAATAAACCTGGCTACGTTTTACGTGTACAATTTGTGATCCGGTAACTTGGTTGATGGTTACACTGCACGTGTGCACGCGTACACCCGTGGGCTGACACCGCTCCGCGATATTGGTGCGTTAGGTCTGGAGCCCACCACTGGTATCAGAGCTCATGATTGTTTTCCTCGTGCTCATGGTTCCCCCTGCTTCTATATTTGTTTCTGCCCACCCTTGGTTCCCCAGGTACAACGCCAAGCGCCGGCACTGGAGGCGCACGAAGCTCGGGTTCTAAGCGCAGTGCAGCTGACAAGGGGCAGCATGAATCGTCGTTGATGGCGTTTGGAGTATTGGAGCATGTAACAGAATCCCACTGCTGTTGCCTTGCCTCTGTTGTACACGGAATTGAGCTGATCTTGATCAAGCTGGCAGGGGGGGCTTTCTGCTGCCCTGTGCCCACCCGAAGCAAGGAACGCTGCTTCTTGTACGGGGGTTCGAGTGAGCTGATAACGTGTACATGTGGTATTGGTTTCAGTGGAATTAGCTTACAATTTAAGTATGGAATGGAGTAGCACAAATAGAGAATGGATGGATTGCAGGAGATAAATTCGTACTTGATCATTTCAGTAAGAAGTTCCGATAGATCTTATCGAGATACACTGTAAATAACATCCGAAGAACAACATTAGAGCGGTCATCAAATACTGCTCCTAAACCCACAGGCTAGAATAGCCAAGGGGGGGCGTACTTGAAAATTGAGTATTTTGGGGGTCAGAAATTGTTGGGCTGAGAAAGGCCCTTAGGATCTTTCCAGAGACTAAGTCCAGTTGTAAAAGGAGACTTGAGTAGTGCAGCGGAAGTTGAGTAGTTGAACCCTTGTACTAGTATATGAGAACAAGTGATTGGTTAAAAGAACAAGCATACGGCAATATATAGAAAGTAGGAAAGTAAAGCAGTTGTAGAATACAGTTGAAAGAGCGGTTATCGAGTCGCACAGCGACTCGATTGTCGTTTCGGTTACCATCTTTGCAGTTGTAACTGTCAGTCGCAACCTCTAGTTGCGACCCTTCGAGTCCTTTCGTGTTCTTTGTCCATCCCCTCGTGTAACCTCCGTTGACTCGCGTACCCGTTACGACCTTCCTCGAGTGTGGTGTTACACTTAAGAAACGCTTAAGTCCTTGAGATATTTCCAACACTCCCCTTCGTTTCTGGAGTGCTGACCAGTCCCTATTTTTCACGAGTAAATTACTCTGATTCTCTGATTTTCAGAGTTGATTTTGTGTACCACCCTTACGCCTCTGGGTAAATTTTTTAGATTTTATGTTTTCTCTGATAAGCCAGGGTTTTTTTTTGTACCACCCCGAGGGGTTTACTGTAAGGGGGATACCCCCGTATTTTCGTGTACCCCCCCTGTCCACATACATGTGTTAGAAACAGAGCTAGCAAGAAAAGAGGAGGCCGCCATGGAATGGCGGCCAAGGGTTTAGCTAGGAAGTAGACGAGAGTGTCGAGAGAGAAAGTGTTGGATTAGGAAGAGAGGGGAGTACAAGGAGGGGTTTGTACCCCCTAGAGAAAGGTTCAGTAACAACCTACCAAGCATATATTAAATTATAACTTATATAATTTGAACACACCCCCTAGGCTTGGTAGTGTCAAGCCCTAACAACCCACACACACACCCCCTAACCCCGGACACCCTCATTCTCGTGAGCAGCCGGGTATCGACCCCTCGTGCTAGGCTATGACACCCCCGGTCGAGAGGCAGCTGGCCGCATCTGGGCGGCCTCAATGACGACAGCGGCGGAGCTCGTGCTCAAGGCGGCTGTGTCGATGAGGACAGGCGGCGACTGCGGCGGCTGAGGGCTCTCGGCGGTGTGGCACGGGCTGGCGACGACCGAGCCGAAGACAGCAGCTACGGCAGGAGCAGGAGGAGATGCAGGGGAGGGAGAGGTGGTGGGGCTGCTGTGGTGGGGCTGCAGGACTTCAGCGTGGCGCCATAGGCGCGGCGCTTACTGGCGGGAGGAGGAGGCAGGACGGGGCCCAGGAGGGGTGCGAATGGGCTAGGAAGCACAGGCAGGGCCAAGGAGGGGCGCGACTGGGCTAGGAACGGCGGAGCCGCCACGTCAGGGCGGCAAGCCCAGCACGGCTGCTCGACGTGGCAGCCATGCGACATGGCCGCCACGGGGGCACGGCAGGAGCGACGAACGCACGAGAACGCAGCGGAAAGCACGGGGGGGAGCAGGCCCAGGAAGGGCATCCCGCTCTCGATACCATGTTAGAAACAGAGCTAGCAAGAAAAGAGGAGGCCGCCATGGAATGGCGGCCAAGGGTTTAGCTAGGAAGTAGACGAGAGTGTCGAGAGAGAAAGTGTTGGATTAGGAAGAGAGGGGAGTACAAGGAGGGGTTTGTACCCCCTACAGAAAGGTTCAGTAACAACCTACCAAGCATATATTAAATTATAACTTATATAATTTGAACAACATGCCCCCATTTCCTCGCCTTGTTCACGCAGACCGCCGAGCTGGCCCACGTCATATGTTGCCAGACCCACCCTTGCTGGCAGATAACCTTCTCTCCTATTGGACACTAGTGTATTTTTTACGCAGGTTTCGGCGCCACACCCGAGTTTACCACGTCGACTGTTGCCACACTTGTACTCGCTGTACGTGTATGTGCCTCTGATTGGCCCCTTCGTCATTTTTTGCAGCCACGCACATCGACAGGCATGCAACACTGCGGGAATCTTTCCCCGCACGCGCGGGCATATGCCCTTCTCGAATGTTCAGGATGGCTCAGGAAGGCACCCAACCTTCATGTCGATGGCGCCACGGGCATCAAGAACAGGCGAGAAAAGCCTCGTCTTCTTCACCCTGTTCTTCTCCCCCTGTTATACATCGGCAGTAGGCGCTAGTGTACCAGTTTAGCAACCCTCTCTCACATCTCGTCGAACGTGATCTATTCCGCCAGCCTCGAATCCTCTCGTCGTCCCGCCTCGCCAGCTATGGCTGGCCTGGGCGATGCCGACGATGGCGGGGAGGATGAGGATGACGCCCCACCCCCACGTAGCTCGACCCCACTCAGCGGTTTAGACTTTTTGCGTCGCACAAACGCCTCCCCAGTAGACCCTCCTCCGTTCCCGAAGCGTCGACTTACCGCCCCCCCAGTAGAGCCTCTGCCGCTCCCGAGTCTAAGCAGCGACGAATGGGAGCGTGAAATGGAAGAGGCGGATCTGTCGGTTGACAAGCCGGCAGATCCTCCACCTCCGGATCCTGTGCCCTCGTCGCCGGCATCTGCATCAACATCGTCGGCTAAGAAGAGACGACGATACCAGCAGAGACATCTGCCCTTCGCGCCTCCTCCCAAGATAACGCCGCCAGCAACCCCTGCCCCCGTCGTTGAAGCAGAGCGACCCCTCGCACCAACGTCGGCCGAGATGAAGGCCAAAGCTTATCTTGCTGCTCAGAAGAAATATACCTCAGATTGGCATGGAAGGTTTCCTTGGCTCGTCTTGGATAAAACTGACGATGGCTCACCCTGTTTACGTTGCAGTGTGTGCATGCAGCATGGCAAGCCGACAGCCCGCTACGGTCGCGATGGGCCTGGCGGCAGGGACTTACAGATTGGCAGCATGCGGTGGCACGAGGAGAGCACCAAGCATGAGGCGTGCGTGCAGAAGCAAGCTCACCTTGACAAGGAAATCGAGAGCCAGAAGCGCATGGACGACTTCGCCAAGAACGACCCCGATGCCGCCCGCGTCATCAGACTTCTACGCTCCATGCTATTCATCTGTAAGGAAGATGCTCCGATTTCAATGTTCACACGTCTAATCGGTCACCTGTCGCAGGAGGGGGTGAAGGACATACCCAAGCAGACTTACGGCGCGTACATCACGAAGTAAGCGCACTGTTTTCGTGTTTGTATAGTGTATTGAATACGGGACTGATGTCTAATCTGATGTCTTATTGTACGGTGTTTGTCGCAGGTATGGATTCAGGGAGATGGTGAAAGCCATGGTGGCTTTCTTGAAGGCACAGCAGATGGAGCACATCCACTCCTCCCCGTTCATCGGCATCAGCTGCGACGAGAGTACCGACCGCACCCGCGGAAAGCATCTCATCGTCTTCGGCACCTTCTTAAAGAAGCGGCGCGTCGTCACTGAGTTCTTGAGCCTGCTCACCATCGACAAGTGTGATGCTGCGTCGCTCCAGTCTGTCCTGCTGGGTCACCTGGAAGGGAGTGGCATTGAGCTTCAAAAGATCGCCGGTATTAGCACCGATGGGGCATCGGTGATGACCGGCGAGAAGAACGGGCTCGTCGCTCGACTCTGACTGCGTATCCCGCACCTTGTTGGTTGCCATTGCATCGCACATCGGTAAGACTGCCGTCGCAGTACCTGTCTATGTCTCTATGATTATCCATGCATGTTTCTAATCTCACTTGTGCCTTGGTGCCATCGCAGAGAAGCGCTGGCGGTCAAAGACGCCTCTAACTCCTTCCCCGACCTGTTCATCGTCGACGTTATCATCCGAGCTTTCGGGGAAATCGTCGGTCGCTCGACTCCGTGGTACGAAAGGTTCAAGGCTCTGCAGCTTGTCATCCACGACACGAACCTCGAACATCAGGGGCTCTACGCCATAAGGTGGCTTGCACGTGGTGACGCTGTGCGGCGACTCTGCAGGATTCTCGGCGCAGTCATCGTCGTCTTCATCGAGTACAAGCACAAGCACGTTGCGCTTCTGAAGTCCTTCAAGTTCCACTTCCGCCTCAACTTCCTCGCCGACATCCTCGCTGAGCTCAACACTCTGAACAGGTTTTTCCAGCGCCGCACGGTAAGTTGAATCTTTTTCGTTCCTGTCGCAACTCATTGAGTTCATTAATATCTTGGGCGTGTGTCTAGCGTGAAACTTGTTCTAACATCCTGTCCTTTGCCCTTGCCCTCCCGCCCCAACCTTCAGGTGGACATCACGCTCGTCACCCAAGAGGTCGACCGCACTGTCACCTACATCAAGCACCGATACATCGAGTACGGGGAGCGGTTCGGCGGCGGGCTCAGCAAGCAGCTCGACAAGTTCCTCGCCCGCTACAAGGAGGGCAAGGGGTCGCTCGAGGTGCACGGCATCGCGGCGGATGGCTCTCCCTGCACGCACAAGTTCGAGCTCACGTTATCGCGCATCTCGGGACATGCGTTCGGCGGCACTCCTTCCGACTGCGAAGACCTTTGCACGGCGTTCGCCAAGGAGACAGTGGGGTGCTTGGAGGGGCGGCTGTGGGACATGAAGCGGATGGAGGGGTCAAAGCTCTACAAGGTAGACCAGTGGCCCAAGAAGACAGAGGTGCGGGAGCGCCGGTGCCGCAAGTGGGCTGAACAGAATATGGCGCTGTTTGACAACAAGCTGCCAGGTCAGTGGCTCTAAAAGAGGTCCTGTCGTATGTCTTGAATTTGGTTAGATGCGGTGTCTCCTCTGTTACTTCAACACCTCCTTTTCGTGCCATGAACGCCCCTACCCCCCCCCTCCCTCCCCGCCAAAAGGAGTCGAACTGCGAGCGATGGAGTTGGAGCTGAAGACCTTTTGCCACATCATGAAGACTCATCGCAAGGACGACGACTTCGCCCAGGGTTTGGCCAATATGATGAAGACGAAGAACTGGTCCAAGTCGTACCCGAACCTGATGCGGATGTGGCAGGCGCTGGCGGTGTTGCCCTTGAGCACCGTCGAGTGCGAGCGCGGATTCTCACGGCAGAATGTCATCAAAGGATGGCATCGCACAAGCCTGTGCGATGCCACCCTTGGTGAGTTGATGACCATTAGCATGCTGGACTACGACATGGACTACCCCCAGATCGTGGAGAAGTGGAGGCGCATTAGGCACCGTAGGCAAGCTAGGAATGTTGAATTTGAGCAGGAAATTCCCCTCTTCCCACAGCAGAAGGATGTTGTAGAGAGCTCAGACGATGAGAGTGTCGGAGGTGGGAGTGAGGATGACAACGTGGATGATGATTATTAGTTATGTAATATTGTGCTATGCTTTATTACTAAAACAACTGTTGCTGTCACTATTTTACTCTGCAACTAGCATTCACCAGAGCCGGAAAAAATACCCCCCTGTTTAGCCAGAGTAAAAATATTGAAATTGTGGGGTTACCCTGATGCCTCAGGGAAAATGTTGAGGACCACTCTAGTTTTCGAAGTAATGGTGAAAGAAGCTTTCAGATTTCAGAGTAGTGAAAAACCAAAGATCAGCACTGGTGCTAACGTGTTCAGATCCGGCGACGTTTGTCTGCCCGGTCAGCAGCATGCAGTAATCGAACTTTGCCTTTGCCTGTTTCTTCGTCAGGTAGTCTGCGGCCATTTCTGTCGTAGGGCAGTTGTTAAAATTATATAAGTTATAATTTAATATAGGCTTGGTAGGTTGTTACTGAACCTTTCTGTAGAGGGTACAAACCCCTTCTTGTACTCCTCTCTCTTCCTAATCAAACACCTTTCTTCTCGACATTCTCTCACTTCCTAGATCCGTTTTTCCTCACGCCATTCCATGGCGGTCTTCTTCCTAGTATCCTAGCCAACCTAGCCTCCTATGTTTAAGAACCTTTAGTCCTAAGTTTCTAAGATGGTATCAGAGCCGGTCGTGTCCACCGGACCCTCTCCCTACGTTCCCGTTGCGTACTCCTACTGCATTCGCAGCCTTCGCGGTTTTCTGCCTGCCTGCCGTCGCGGCACTAAGTTGTCGCGACGGCCCCTTGTTGCCTGCCGTCGCGGCACTAAGTTGTCGCGACGGCCCCTTGTTGCCTGCCGTCGCGGCGCCAGGATGTCGCGACGGCCCCTTGTTGCCTGCCGTCGCGGCACCAAGATGTCGCGACGGTCCCTCGTTGCCTACCGTCGCGGCGCCAAGGTGTCGCGACGGCCCCTTGGTGCAGCCGTCGCCCGTCCGCCTCGCCGCTGCGACATTGATGGTGCACTGTGGCGGCGTCTGCGGCAGCCGACGGCATCGTCGGGCTGCGGCCGGCCGAGCGACGTCTGTGGCGTCGCCGGGCCTGCCGCCCGCTCGCCATCGACGGGCGTCCCTCAGGACGACGTCCTCCCGCCAGTAAGCGCCGCGCCATTTATGGCGCGTCGCTGAAGACTCGCCTCGCCCCGCCCCCTCCCCCCCCCCCCACCTGCACCTGCTTCCCCTGCATCCCCCCCTTTCTTGCTGCAGCCGATGACTGCCATGTGAGGGACCTCTCCACCGCCGAGGAGACAGGACATGCCGCCGAGAGGGCGGGGGCCGCCGCACCAGCCTCTGTCGTTCAAGCCGCCGGCGCCGCCGCTGTTGCCGCAGGCCTGGAGCCGCCGCACACCGCCGCCGCCGCCGCCGTCGTCACTGTCGCTGCTGCCGCCATTGCCGTCTCAAGGGGCCGTGAGACCTACCCTCTTCCGGAGTCGTTGCGGCTCCAGCTGGGAATGGGGGTGCTGGGCTAGGGGGTGTGGGTGTGGGTGTGGGTGTGGGGGTGTGCGTGGGCTTGACACTACCAAGCCTAGGGGGTGTGTTAAAATTATATAAGTTATAATTTAATATAGGCTTGGTAGGTTGTTACTGAACCTTTCTGTAGAGGGTACAAACCCCTTCTTGTACTCCTCTCTCTTCCTAATCAAACACCTTTCTTCTCGACATTCTCTCACTTCCTAGATCCGTTTTTCCTCACGCCATTCCATGGCGGTCTTCTTCCTAGTATCCTAGCCAACCTAGCCTCCTATGTTTAAGAACCTTTAGTCCTAAGTTTCTAAGAGCAGTAACTGAGTTGAAGTCTCCCCTTCGCGATTTCATCTTTGACGAAGAAGTATCGCAGGGCGATGTGCTTGGTTCGGTTGGCGAAGCCGTCCTTGTTCGCGATCTTAATCGCAGATTGGTTGTCGCAGAGGAGTGAGAAGACGGGCAGTGTCGCAATCTTTGCTTCCTCAAGTAACTCTGGCAGGTAGAGTCCTTCCTTGGTCACAGTGCAGAGGGCGATATATTCTGCTTCAGCCGAAGATAGTGCGATTAGTTCCTGTTTGCTCGATTGCCAGGAGATAGTCCCGATGGGCTCTAGTCGGTAGATGTAGCCCGTTATCGAGCGTCGATTTTCCCTGTCTCCCGCGTGGTCGGCGTCGACGTATCCGAGTAGTTGTACGGACGATGTTGTTTCTTTACTGTAGGTAAGTCCAGTCGTCGGCATAGAGACGAAGTAGAGTAGTGCTCGATTTAGTTCCTCGGGATCTTCTTGTTCCGGCTGCTTCAGATGCGTCGCCAGTTGACTCGCGCTGTAGGATAGGTCAGGTCGGCAGGTTACTGCTGCGAACAGCAGGCATCCAAGCTTCTGCTGATACTCCTGGATTTGCTTCGCGGGGAGTTTTGCGGAGGTGTTGTTGTTGTTCCCGTCGCGGTAGGGAGTCGTGACTGTAGTCGGCGTTAGTCCGAATTTCTTCGCGACAACGCCTGCGTACTTTCCAGCGTGTAGATAGAACGCCGAGTTGTCTTCGACGACGTTTAGACCCGGGTACTGGGTCACAGTGTCAGACACTGTGAGTGTCAAGTCACTTCTCAGCTCCCCTTCGAACCAGGTGGCGATGTCGGTAGTGGAGCCGATGTAGAGCAGGTCGTCAACGTAGACGATGAGTATGATAAATTCCTTTTCTTTCTGTAGTCGGTACATGCCTTGGTCGTGCGGCAGCTGTAGGAATCCGATTCTGACAAGGCGACCGTGAAGGTGCTGCTGCCAAAGCCGCGGGGCTTGCTTGATCCCGTAAAGGGATTTTATGAGCTGCCACACTTTTGTGGGGTCGTCGATGAATCCGTGGGGCTGCTCGACGAAGATCTCGGCGTCCACAGGTGCGTACAGGAAGGCATTTGCGACGTCGATCTGGCGCAGTGGTAGTTTCTTCGTGGCCGCGACGGCGAGTAGAATGCGCAAGGAGGTATGACGGGAGACTGGGGCGAATGAATCTGTGTAGTCAGTTCTGTATCGTTGATCGAATCCTCGTACGACCCAGCGAGCTTTGAATCGTTCGATGGAGCCGTCCTCATTGGTCTTGATGCGGTATACCCATTTTCCCGAGAGAACGTTCTTCCCGTTGATGTTCGTTGCAGGTACCAGCTTCCATGTATTTCGGTCTTGCAGAGCTTTCAGTTCTTTTTCCATTGCCTCCTTCCATTTCGCCTTGTGTTTCCCCCCCAGAGCCTGCGACAGAGTCGTTGGCTCACGCGGAGATGGCGGCGGCGGATGCTGGACGGAGACCCATGAGCCGAGTATCTGCAGTCCTGTGGGTGTGTGTCAAGGGGAATTTTCATTCCCCGAATAGGCTGCTTCGTCACCATCTTCTGGATCAGGTAAGAAGTTCGGGCCGATGCGTTCTGAGACATTTGTGTCGACCGGGTGAGGTGTAATGTAACCTTGGTCAGCGAAGTGGTAAAGGGTGTCGAGGTTGAGTGAAACGTCCTGCTCGGGCTGTGTGGGGTCTGTACTGTACCATGCAGCCGAAAACCCGAAGTAATTTTGTGCTGCCCCTTTTTCGTGTCCACAGCAGGTGCAGTGATGTGTTGTTGGGAAGCGAGGACGAGGATAACAAATTGTGCAGGTGGACTGCATGGGTCATCGTGTCTGGCCACAGTGCGTTGGGCAGTCTCTCTTAGGAGAAGCTTCCGCATCGTTGTCTGCAAGGTTCGGTTCATTCTTTCTGCGACCTCCTGCTGCTGGTGAGCGTAGGGCAGAGACACCAGTCATCTGATTCCTCTTTCCGTCAAGTAGTTCCTGAAGCGTTGTGACTGGTATTCGAGTGCGCCGTCTAGCTGGAAGCTCTTGAGCTTCGTTCCTGATTCTCGTTCAGCGATGGGGAGCCACGTCGTGAAGGCTTCGAAAGCTTGATCGCGTGTCTTGAGGTTGTAGTGCTAGACATATCTTGTTGCTGCATCGATGAACGTGATGACATAGTTGAAGTCGGCTTCAGTGTCGTCTCGAGGCATGTTTAAGATGTCGCTGTAAACTTTTTCCATCGGTGCGTATGCAGGTGCACTTGGATTGTGATGTGATGGAAAAGGTTGGTGGGGAAGATCAGCTTCGGGGCACGTGAAGCACCGTGCGCGAGGCCGTCGAAGTTCTTGGCCGCTCGTCGTAAGAGGAGCGTTTCGTTCTAACACTTCGGCTTGGATGGTTTGTAGTACCGTGCTGTTTGCAGGATGCCCAAGGCGTTGGTGCCAGATGTCGTCGGAGGCGCGATGGCCGGGCGAGCGTTGGCACATGTCGGTGTTGGAGAAGAACGCGACGACCGTGGCGGGACTTCGGCAGACTTCTCGTGTGATGGGTATAAGTTGATCTGCTTCGGTTGGTGGTCCTCGGATTGCTGGTGATGGTACTCGGCTGGGTCCTGCTGCTGCTACTGCAGGTGATGTTTGGGAAGGGACGCTTGCTGGCACTTGTCTTTCTTGTCGGATGACTGCTAACGCTCATGTTCTCTCTGCCGCAGGTATGGTGTTAGAGTACCAGAATCCATCTGGGGTGAAGTCGGGGTCAAGGTCCAGGGGGTGCGTCCAGGCGGCGAACGACACGATGCCATCGCTGTCGGCGGTACCGCGGTCGGGGACGAAATCCAACACGAAGACGCCTGACTTCAGGAGAGCGCGACCGATGAAGAGACTGCCCTTCCCGTGGTAAAGGCAAAATTTGTTGGAGTCTGAGTCGCACTCCAGGTGAATCCCTTTTGCCATTAACTGGCTGACACTGAGTAAGTTGTATCCCAAATTGTCGACGATGAGAAGTTTGTTGAGTTGCAGTATAACGTTTGTCTCCATGGACTGTAACTGAACCACTCCTTGTCTGTTTGTTTTCAGGTTCTCGTTGTTGGCGACGGTGATGATGACATCTCGGTTGAGACGTCGTTCTCGTTGCACGAATCGCCCGGAGGAACACATATGTTGGCCGCAACAGCTGTCCAAGAACCAAGTGTTTCGCCCGGTAGGTTCGGCGTTGGCAACTGCAGCGTATGTTGGGTTGACCTGAAGTCCTTGTGAGCGCGGTGGTGACAGTTCTTC